ATTTGAGCAGAACAAAAAAAGTGCACTACAGATCCTCACTTAACTCTGCTCCCTACAAAATTTCTTCAGTCACTGCTGATGATCAAAATTAACCTGTCATAGGAGGAAAAGGCCAGTCCCCCACTCCCTGAGGGACACATACACACTAGGTGGGTAGCCACTTTTTTAGCATTGACTAATTAATTCCTTTGTTTTAGGGGTAGTTTGGTAAAATGAAATGAGCTTTGTAGTCAGACCTCAGACCTTCTACAAGTTTAGAGAACGTCACTTGCTCTCTCACTCACAACCGTTCAATTGATTCTGACTCAGGGGAACTCTCCATTGGATTTCTAAGGCTGTAAATCTTAATGGGAAGACACTGTCCACTTATCTCCTAAGGAGACATTGGTAGATTCAAATTGCCAGAGACTCCTTCAAAAGAAGTTAGGAAAGTTTTTCTAGGCCTGTTTCCCCAGGCACAAAACTGTGGAAGGGCTGTAAGGGTTAAGTTAGAGCTAAAGACCTTTGGCAGGGTTGTTGGAAAGCCCTCCTGATCAAAACTAAGCTGGATCTGAGCTTCAGACCCACTTCTCCCAGTGCTGTCTACCTGTCTGCTGCTTGGTCTCTGGGTGCCTGTGTCCACATCAGTAAAACATGGATTATCACCACTTACAGAATTGCTGTGTGTAGATCCTTCGTGAGCAACTTAGTGCTGTTTTTTCTTCCTCTGCTCCCACACCTATGTTAATCCAAACTCCATACCTTGTTCAGAGTAGTGATGTAACTATAAACACCTTCTCCCACTTATGTACCATTGAGACAGAATCTATTCAGAAGCAGTAAATCACATGGGGGTACACCGCTCATCTTTCTTGAGTAGCAGCTGGTAAATCCAAACCATGTGCCTTTGGGTTTGCAGCACAGCTCTTACCATTAAGCCACCAGAGCTCCTCTAAAGACCTGTATTAGACACAGACAGCCCATATCCAACCCTAAGGCTTCTTAAACCACTGTCTGAGCCCTCTTTTAGCATACCTCCTCCTCCTCAAGCAGGAGTTGTGGTGTTTTAATCTCTGGATCTCTCATGCTCAGCTTATGTTAAGGCATGCTTCTCTTTTCCAGACACAATTTTCTAGGAAAGGAGAACTGGCACAACACTGGGAATAAAACTAGGGGCCAGGGTGGCAGGAGAAGGGGACAGGAAAGACTCTCATGAGAAAAAGAAGAACTTAAAAAAGAACAAGAGACGATGGGCTTGATTCAAATCTCAGTCTAAGCACATGCCAAGTAAGTTTGGGAAAGTTACCACGCTTCTCAGTCTGTGCTGGTTCCATGTCTGTAAAACAAGTATCACAATCTACTTACCACATAAATAAAAGTACTCAAGTACTAGCCATTGATTGTTTTACTACTATTAACCTCAATAATAATAATAGGCTAACACTCATTTTTTATGTGCCAGATATTGTTCTATTTTAATGTGCTGATGAATATTCTTAACCTTGCAGGACTGCATGGCAATGTCAAGAACCAATAGGTAACATCATGATAGAGGTAAGACTGAGATGTCCAATGACTTCATCTTACTGGGATCTACAATCAATACTTGGTACCAGTAGTCTGGACGATCAGGAGATGTACTGCACTGGAAAAGTCTGTAGTCAGGGTCTTCTCTGTATTATTGAGGAGCAATGATGTCAGTTTGATGACAAAGATGTGCCTGATTCAGGCCACAGTCTTATCAGTCACTTGCTATGCATCTGAAAGCTGGACAATGACTAAAAATGACAGAAGAATTGATGTCTTTGAACTGTGGCATTAGAGAATATGAATTCCATGGACTGTCAAAAGAACAAACGTATGTCTTGGAGATAAGTTTTGTAGAAGATGCAGTCAGAGAACTCCTTGATGGCAAAGATAATGAAGCTTCGTCTCATATACTCTGGTTATGTTGCTACAAGAGGTTACTCCTTGGAGAGGGACATCATGCTTGGAAAGGTGGACTAGATCGTGAAGATGACAGAGTTCCGATCTGCTGTTCAGAGGGTCACTGTAAGCTGTACTTGACTTGAAGGCACCTAACAACAACAAACCTTGGAAGTAGATACTATAATGCTCACTTTTATAGGGACTGTATCTGAGAATGAGGCTCAGGGAAAGAACTTTTCCCAAATTCAGAGAATTTGTTTTTATGTGTCATCAAGTCACCTGTGACCCTATGTACAATAGCTCTGAAGCCTGCCCTGTCTGGAGCCAGTCTGACTCCAGTACACCTATCTCCACTGCCCTAGTTACTTCATCAATCCATCTCATCTGGGGTCTTCCTCTCCAATGCTGTCCCCCCACTCTTCCATGCATGATGTCCTTCTCTAAGGATCAGTCCCTCCTGCCCACATGCCCAAAGTATGTAAGACAGACCTTCAAAATCCTAGCTGCCAAGGAGAAACTTGGTTTGACCCTCTCCAAGAATTTATTTCTTTATTATTGGTATATTCAAGACTCTTCTCCAGCACAACTCAAAGGCATTGATTCTTCTTCTATTCTCCTTGGTCATTATCCAGATCTCTGATGCATAGCGAGTAATTGCTAAGACCATGGACTGGATCAGGTGTACCTTAGTCTCTAGACTGACATCATAGCTTCTCAGTACTCTGGAGAGATCCCTGACAGTAGATGTACCTAATGCAATTCACCTTTTGATTTCCTGACTGCTGGTGTCAAGAGTGTTGATTGTGGAGACGATCAAGCTGTTAACTATTAACAGCCTCAATCTCTTCTCCATTCATTTTGGTGCTGCCAATTGCCCAGTGGTGAGAATCTTTTTCTTCTTGATGTTGAACTTCAATCCATATTGAAGAGTACAGTCCTTGACCTTCTGCAGGAAGCGCTTCAGGTCCTTCTTTGGTGCAGCAAGCAAAGTTGTATCATCTGTGTAACATAGGTTGTTGATGAGTCTTCTTCCAATCCAATGCCAGATTAATCCTCATAAAGCCACCCCCCCCAAAAAAAAGGGGCAGCAATAAGTTACAAGCTAGCAATGTACAGGACTGCAATGTCAGAGATTCCAAGGGTGGAAGTCAGGAGTTCTGAGTTTGCACTATTTCCAGTCTTGCTCCCTCAACTGCAGCAAATGATAACAGTGTTATAAGTAGAGTTAACATAATATATTTATTTTAAGTGCCATTCATGCATATCAGTTCTGGCAGCAACAATCCTAATGACACTTGGAATCTTTGTACAGCACTAACAATTACAAAGAAAGGGTGCCGTTTATCATAGAGGCAAAATATGAAATCGTGCAATAGCAAAACTGTAGAAACATTAAAACACTGACTGTCCAACAGCAGTACAGAGAGCAAGTTGTGTTTGCACAAAAAGCCAATGCATTTTCATCACATATATACAATATAGATATGTACACATCACCCTCTGAATGAACAATATCAAAATACTCTATATTCCATTTGAAATAATCCCCAGATTGATTCCCTCCCACTTCAAAGAACATCTGAGAGACACATATTTACAAGAACACACATGAATACATTTACATTTCAAAAAATGCCACAAATGCCAGTCGGATTATTCTCCTGGACAGAGTGCTCCATTTGAATGTATGCACTTATTATTTCTTTTTCCAAAAGTCTTTTAGTCTACCTAAGCCCAAGACAGAGCTTTCTCAGCATTAACTACCACCTATTGAATTGGCCACTAGAGGGACTCCCTGGATCTCACAAGGCAATTCTGCCTTGTGTGTTCCGCTTGAGAAGGGCAGTCCCAGATTCAAGGGCCAACTGGATCACAGGAGAGTGGGATGCGTCTGAGTGGAGGTGCTGCCTCTTGGGTCATTTGGGGTAAGCTGAAACGCTCATAAAACTATTGATCACTGCAAATCAGTAAATGATTACCAAATAGGAAATATGTACGCATCACACAATTTGTAAAATCTTTATCAACGGTTTCTACCCAAATCACTTAGTATATAAGACCACATTCCAATGCCCACATTGTTTAAAGTGCACACTGCTACCCAAACAATTTCAACAGTTTTAAAACGGCTATTTTGGTGTCTAGAAAACAGTGACTTGAACAGACTACTGAAAATCCCTCTTTCCTTCAAGCTTTTACTCTGCAGGCTGCTATTTCATCTTGCCCCTCATCCTTCTAAAAGAGACCTTTCTAGGATCCTCTATTCCCCTGATATCAGGAGCTGGAACTTTCTTTTCTATGCTAAGCAAGGAGCATACAAACAACAGAGGAACAAAAAAACCCTTCTTTTCTCCCCAGGTTCACCAGCTCTTACTATGCTGGTGGCCTTCCAGTGATTCATTCAAGACAATATTCCATTAAAAAACGGAGAAAAAATACACCCATCCACACTCACAAATACATATACACAGAGATAAAGATGGTTGTTTAAAGAATCTGAATATGGCCAACAGCAACCAAAGATGCTTAAAAATTAAGCAACTAGAAGTAGTTTTTACTTCTTGATTTTAGAGAACACATCATTTCTTCATTAAAAGAAATTCTTCGTTTGCTTTGAATCGTAAAAACCAATTTAAAATTTACCTGTTTTTTAATAAAGCTAAACCAATCTGTGCAAAGCAGCTGTGATACAAAGCAGAATAACACAACCAACCAAACAATAATCCTAAGAGGCAGGCTGCATTTCAAAGGAAGTGACTAAATGTCACACCTACACAGACATACGGGACAGATATGACAGCATAAGTAACAATAAGTGCAAGAAGAGGGAGAGTAAGTTTGTATGTCACGCTATCTTCACTCAGTACTAACTAAACAGAAAGAGAATGGGTGAGAAAACTTGCTTCCTAACTGTTCTGTGGCCAAAATACATGGATTTAAATTTCAGAAGACTTTACTTAGGTAATAAGTTTTAACTGGTAGAAATGCCATGAGAAATATCTCAATAGTGAAAAGAGTAATGGGGGGGGGATAATCACACAATCTCTGATTGTCTTGTCTGTAAACTCTCATTTAAAAAACAAACAAAAAAAATTCCTGTGCTTTCAGATACCGCAATTCTTGTAATGAACCAAACAGGAGCTGAGCATTCACAGAAAATCATAATAAATACTAAAATAACATTTTAAAATAATAAATACCCAAGTGAATACGGAAGCAATGATTTCTTTAGAGACCTAAACAGTGCCCAGCTTCTAAATGATCAAATAATTTTTAAATTGTTACAATGCAGATTTATGAAAATAGACACTGACAAGATACAGCATAAACTCTTTAATCCTCCAGGTATGAAAACACATTTCCTTTATGCTGCTCAGAAACAACACAACCCTTTGAACTTTTGAAGAGTATCAAACTCTGGGTTCCTTGACTTGGTGGAATTCACTACCCACATTTCTGTAAAGGATTAAATGAAGAGGAATTACTAAGCTTTGGAAAAATCTGTTTCCCTTCATTGCTTACATGAATAAAACATATCCTGCAGAAAATGGCCTAGTAGGGAATAAAAACTCACAGTAACTTTCTTTCCAAGACATAATAATCCAATTATTTTAAAAAAACAAACCCTGAACCCTTTGATTAATTTTTGTACATATATTTACACATATGGATTTATAAATTGCTTGCAGCAAAATAGGCTCTGTCTGAAAATCAGTCTGGCACTTGTGGTCAACATCAAAACTGACACAAATATGCAAAAGCCGTCAAATCACACAACAGGTAGGAGCTACATGGGGAGGCTGGCAGGGAGACAAACATGTAGTACTTGTCTGGGTCAGATAAAAGCAGTAAGTTATCCAGCTAAAATCTTGTTGATTGTCTTCAAAAGAAATTTCAATAACATTGGTAAAGTTATTAACAACTTTCTCAACTGGATTTTCAGAAACCTTTCCCTTCACTGCACAGAAAGGTGATGCTGGGGTTTGGTGCCTTGCAGAGAAACAAGCCCTACACAATTGAATCCCAATCAAAATCATCCTGGATGTCATCTGGAGGCAGGGAGCGTCGCATCTGGAAGGCTTGGGAAGGCATCATGTGCTGCTGGTTCATGGCTCCATGGTGGCCTGGCAGGAAGAAGGCAATGTTAGAATTTGGTAGAAAAGAAAGGGGGGGAGGGAAGCGATAAACCAACCTCCCACTGGGCATATCCTATGTACCAGGTACTATGCCCACATCATCTGAGTAATTCACCTCTCAGTCTTTTTTTTTTTTTTTTTAGTTGATAATCACATATATTATCTACTCAAAATGACAGAAGTACAAAAACAATAAAGGGAGTACACACTGGCTGTACTAACAGAAGAATCAAATAAAACAGACACTTAGATCTTAATGTCTAACAAATAGTAGTGTTGATGACATGATACCCAAACAATGATAGCTCAAAGATCCTCCTTTAGGATTTAAGATAGGTTGTATGTTCCATGTCACCGTAAATAAGATCTGAACTTAACTCATGTCACTCAGTAACTTACGATCTTTTCAGTGCACAAGGCAAGAAAGACCTAAGAATGCAAGTGTATCCAACTGCTGACATAAAAAACATTTCTTTAACATTTTGTTCTGTGCCAATGTGTGTGTTTCAGAAACAGCAATGACTCACAAAAATGGTAAATAAGAGAATGTCGTCAGCATAACACATAAAGTCATATTAGGTCACAATAAATTTTGCCAGTAAGTTAACTTTGTGCCACCAAATAGTAACAGGTCAACACAGAGAACATTAACAAAGATGAATATAGGAGACCCCAGAGGACCATAATGAGCACACCACCCCATCCTGCTCTCCTTCCTGGATCAGTGTGATTATTAGGTGCATTCTTTGTGCTCCTTTATTTGGTACATTCTGCCACCTTCTCTGTAGTTTTAGAGACCTCTAAACAAGCACTCTTTTCTTTTTTCTGTTTTGTCTATTTGTTTTTAAAAATTAAAGTCCTATATTTATTTGAAGAATTTATTCTTTTAGTAGGAATTAAGCATAGCCTTTAAACTGTGGTTATTTTTTTATGGATTGTTTTTGCTAGTACTCTGATTAAAATGTTGAGTAGTCTGCCACTAATTTTGCTTTGCTCTTAAGTCATTTATTAACAATCTGTATCATGGTATAGTAGAACTGCCTATGCAGGAGTGGCATCCACTTCCTAAACAACATGCCTCCTCCAGACACGGCATGAACTTTGAGAAATGTCATTATTTATAGAAAGACTTAAGGCCTTTTGTTCACAGGTCACTATGAGTTGTGCTCAACTTGAGGGCAATCAACAACAGTTAACAAAAACACATAATCTTCCGCCACGTTGTTGTTAAGAGCTGTCAAGGTGACCAAGACTCATAGTGACTCCATGAACAAAAGATCTGAACTGAGCTCCAATGCTAAATCAAAGACCTCAGGTCTCTGACAACTCTAATTCACAAGAAGCTCCAATCTACCATCAGTTGTGAGGTTTTAAGTGTAGTCTCCCCTGTTGCAATTTATAGCCTCAGAAATTCAACAGAGAGTCACTATGAACTGTAATAGACTCAATAGCAGTGAGCTGAGTTTATGTGTCAAGGCACTAATTTAAGTGCTTTATATGAAGCCCTCATTTAATCTTCTAACAACAATGGAAGGCTGGTAGTGTTATTAAACCGATTTTACAAACACTTAAAAATAAGACAAAAGGTAGAGTGCTCAGCATCAAACAGCGAAGGGATGAAGCAGAGTCTCATCACCACCTCACACTGTATTATATGACAGAAAAAAAACTGGGACAGCTAATACTTGATTGATTGCTTCCCTTTTATCAGATCTTACTTGGTCCCAATTTCTAAACTAGTACTTGATGTTTAGTTCTTTTGAGTTTTAAATCTCCACCTCACCTCATCCCCACTGCTTTAATAATTTCCTCATATGACCTAAGTAAAAGTTACATGAGAACAGCAATGGATTCTGAATCTAGATATCTGGATTGGTTTCTTAATCAACTAAGTGGCCTTGAACAAGATATCTCCTCTCTTGAGCTTTCATTTCCTAATCCAAGTTATCTTTAAGACTCCTTCCAATCTTAGTAATGTATTACATTCTGATAAATCTATTTTATTCTACATTTACCTAGTGAAAAAAAACCCAAAACAAAACTTCAACAGTTTAGTTACTCCTAAAACTTAATTCTTTGATGCAGTACTTTTCTGGAAACTACACCTGGGAGAATTCTATTGCAGTGATTAGGACAGAATCTATAGGAGCTCATCTATAGACGCCATAGGTTCTTACTTAACTGTGCTAAAAATCTTGTAAAAATAAACAGCCTCAAGGAAATTTAAGATCCTAAGACAGCACTATGGACCTGTAAGGGAAGCAGAAAAATGAGAACAACAGAACCCAAAGTTAAGAGAGACTCTAGGTGATATGGTGTAAACATCAACTGACATCTGAATCTCTTCACCATCACTGGAACCAAGTCTGTACACGACACAAAGTTCACTCCCTTCTGAGGCAGCCTAGTTCACTGCTAGTGAACTGAAGTTGCTCAATATTAAATTCTGACTATCATCACACCACACCCCCCCAGTTACCTGCAATTGTTGTTCCTGGAGTTGTAAGTGCCTGTGGGATATGAGGATAACCTGGGGGTGGCATCACTGAAGAAGGAAGATTTTGCCTAGAGTCTATGTACATATTGCCTTAATCAAATAGAAAAGAAAAAAGGAAAATATGTTAATATAAAGTAAAACAAATAGAGTATTGAAATCCTAAGAGAATTGTTACCTAGAATTAAATTAAGCAAGAAAGGTAGGGAGAAAAAGGGATAGGGGAAAAATTTATTTTCAGTTGTTAAGTCCCTTCCAAAAGGCGGTACTGGTCACTGAACAGGACTACAGGCTGAGTTTTTATAAACTGGTTCTAATTTTACCCATCCAACTAAATAAGCTCATGTCTGTTGTTTTTATGTACTTCATTTCAGTTCAAAAGCATTTCATCTATGTTACCTTATCTGAGCCTCTAGTTATAGCCACACTGAGGACAAAAGAAGGATTAATAACCCCATTTTATTTATAGATGAGGCAACTAAGGCTCAAAAAAGTTTAAATGACTTGTCCTAAGATACATCAAATTGACAGTGGTCTAGTGCTAGAACTCATCATTCATAGGCTCTTTCTATGAACCACTGACTTTACTGCTCCAATTTTTTCATGCTGAAAGCAGATCTAAACACATGTGCCCCCTAGCTGATTGTTTATCCTAATGAGCCCTGGTGGCCCAGTAGTAAGGATTTGCACTGCCAACCCGAAGGCATTCAGTTCAAATCCACCAGCTGATCCATAGGACAAAGACCGACAATCTCCTTCCATGAGATTTACTACCTCTAAAAACCTACTGGAGGGTCAGCTATAGGTCAGTTCCATTAACAATAGTTGCTAAGAGGCATAAAGAGACAGGAAAAAAACCCACACCAACAAATGGTAAAAGAGCTGTAAGTAAAAGCTATTGTTGTTAGGTGCCATCAAGGTATGATCCTTAGTGACCCTATGAACAACAAATCTGAACCCTATCCTATCTTGTGCCATTCTCATACTTCCTTCACCCTAGAGCCACTATGGTAGTCACTGGTCAATCCACTTGGTTGAGGGTCTTCCTCTCCTTCGCCGACCCTCCACCTTTCTAGACAATGTCCCTCTCCAAGAACAGCCCCTCCTAGGAACATGCCTAAAGTATGTGAGGCAAAGCTTTATCACCTTGGACTCAAAGATAATAAAGTGCATTCTGGCTATACTTGCTCCAAAAAATATTTGTCCTTTTGGTCAACCACGGGACAGTCAGTGCTCTTATCCAACACCAAAGCTCAAAGGCATCAATTCTTCTTCTGTCATCCTTATTCACTGTTCACCCATCAGATGCACAGAAAGTTATCAGAAAGACCATGGCCTGAAGCAGGCACACCTTAGTCCTCAAACTGACATCATTACTCCTCAATAATTTGGAGAGGTCCCTGACTGCAGACTTCCCCAATGTAATATGTCTCCTGATTGATTACCTGATTGCTGGTCGTATATCCATGAGGAAAAACAATGGCAAACATCCTTTAATAATTAGAACATGGAATATACAAAGCTTAAATGATGGAAAACTATTAGTTATTCAAAGTGAAATGGAATGTATAAACATCGACATTCTAGGTACTAGTGAGATGAGATGAGATGGACTAGCTTTGACCACTCTGAATCTGATAATCACATGGTATATTATGATAGGAATGAAAAACAAAAGAATGGTGGTGTATTAATAGTCAAAAAGTCAATTTAAAGTTCTATCCTGAAATACATTATGAGTGACAGGACATTATCCATATGCGTACAAGGAAGGCTTATTAATATGAGTATTATTCAAATATACGCTCCTACACCTAGAATAAAAAAGGAAGAAATTGAAAATTTTTACCAAATATTGCAGTCTGAAAAACTTGAAATGGGAAACATAGATCTAACTTAAATGGCATTTCACAAAGTTTTTAATACATCTTAGTTGACAGAGCCATTAAGTATAAACACTTCTAAAGCATCAATTACACTGCACTATAATGCAGAACTGACAGAGACAAAAACAAAGCATTTTCATTTGCCTCGTAGGTACGCTAAAGCTAGACAATGACTAAGAAATACCAAAGAGAAATAACTGATGCCTATGAATTATGGTTTGGGGGGATCTAGTGGTGTAGCCCACAGGGAGCTGCACAGCTAACCCAAAGGTCATGACTCTCTGGTGGATCCACCACTGGCTCTGTGAAAGAAGATGGACAATCTCCTCCTGTGCAAAGTATAACCAGAATGATGCTTCTTAGGAATGAGATGGCAAGGTTCACCTCATGTTCTTTGGATATGTTATTAGGAGAGAGAACGGTCCCTGGAAAAGAATATAATCTATTTAAAGTTAGGGGGGGAAAAAGGAAGCCCTCAGTGAAATGGATTGACAAAGGAGTTATAACAGTGAGCTCAAACACAGAAACAATTATGAGAATGGTACAGGATCAGGCAGCATTTCTTTAGTCATACTGGTTACTAAGAGTCACAATCTGCACAATGACACATAACAAAGCCAACAATAGATGCTGGTAATTCCTGTTGTGATGTGCTGCTGAGTTGCCTGTGATCCCTAGCGATCCTTTGTACAATAGCTCTGAAGCCTGCCCTGTCCTGAGCCAGTCTCACTGACTCGACATACCTACCCCCCACTTCCCCAGTTACTGTATCAATCTATCTCATGTGGGGTCTAATAAGCTTTATATTTCATTTTTCACTTCTATTTTATGTTTAGAAATTTCTGCCTTAAATGAAGCAAAGACTCAAGTTATCAATGATATGATTTTACTTGGATACACTATCTGCACCTACAGAAACTGAAGTCCAGAAGTCAAAACAAGCTAATAGATTACACTGATCTGTTGTCAAGGGTCCTAAAGAGAAAGGGCTTCATTCAAACACTAAAGTGCATCTATCCCAAGTGATGGTATTTTCCATAGCTTCCTAGGCATCTGAAAGTCAGAAAATAAATAACAAGGACTGAAGAAGAACTGATACCTTTGGACTGTGGTGGTGACAAAGAGTACTGACTACTAAAAGAACATAGATACCTTTGGACTGTGGTGGTGACAAAGAGTACTGACTACTAAAAGAACATATGTATTTTAAAAAAAGTGTTGTCAGCGTGCTCCTTAGAGGCAAGGATGGCTACGACTTCATCTCACATACCTAGGGTATGTTATTGGTAGGTTAGTTCCCGGGAAAAGCATTATGCTTGGAAAAGTAGAGGGTCTATGAAAGAGAGGAAGACTATCAATGAGATATCTGCACATTAACTGTGGTAATGGGCTTAAGCATGGTGCAAACTGTAAGGATACTGCAGGATTAGGAAAGAGTTCAGTATATTGTACAGAGGGCTGTTAAGAATTGAAGTTGACTCAATGGAACCCCAAAACAACAATTCTTAGGGCTTAATACATATTTAAATTAAACATATACTCTTTTTAAAAATACTCTCACATTTCTAACACTTAATCTTTCCATAGAAGTTTCCATTACTTTTCATTTCTTCCTGTGTTCTCTTTACAATTAGACTCTGCCTAATTAAGAAATTTACTTCTGGCTCTCTGCTCCTTGTCGATCCAGATTGCCCTCTCTTCTTGTGCAGCCTCAGCCGCATCCCTGAGACATGATGGTGGAGGTCAGAGTAAACGGGTTTGGCGGTATTGGGCGCCTGGTCACCAGGGCTGCTTTTCACTCTAGCAAAGTTGATATTGTCGCCATCAATGATCCCGTCATTGACCTCAACTACATGGTCTATATGTTCCAATATGATTCCACCATGGCAAGTTCAACGACACTGTCAAGGCTGAGAATAGGAAGCTGGTCATCAATGGGAAAGTTATCACTATCTTCCAGGAGCAAGATCCCGCCAACATCAAGTAGGGTGATGCTGGTGCTGAGTATGTTGTGGAGTCCACTGGTGTCTTCACAACCTTGGAGAAGGCTGGGGCTCACTTGAAGGGTGGTGCCAAATGGGTAATCATCTCTGCTCCTTCTGCCGATGCCCCCATGTTTGTGATGGGCATGAACCATGAAAAGTATGACAACTCTCTCAAGATTGTCAGCAATGCCTCCTATACCACCAACTGCTTGGCTCCCCTGGCCAAGGTCATCCATGACAACTTCGGCATTGTAGAGGGACTCATGACCACAGTCCATGCCATCATTGCCACCCAGAAGACTGTGGATGGCCCCTCTGGAAAGCTGTGACGTGATGGCCGTGGAGTTGCCCAGAACATCATCCTGCATCTACTGGCGCTGCCAAGGCAGTGGGCAAGGTCATCCCTGAACTGAATGGGAAACTTACCAGCATGGCTTTCCGTGTTCCCACCCCTAATGTGTTAGTTGTGGACCTGACGTGCCGTCTGGAGAAAGCTGCCAAATATGATGACATCAAGAAAGTAGTAAAGCAGGCATCAGAAGGGCCCCTCAAGGGCATCCTGGGATACACTGAAGACCAGGTTGTCTCCTGTGACTTTAATAGTGACACCCACTCTTCCACCTTTGATGATGGGGCTGGCATTGCCCTGAACGACCACTTTGTCAAACTCATTTCCTGGTATGACAATGAATTTGGCTACAGCAACCGGGTGGTAGACCTGATGGTTCACATGGCCTCCAAAGAATAAGAGCCCCTTGGACCACCAGCCCAGCAATAGCACTAGAAGAGAGAGACCCTCAGCTGCTGGGGAGTCCTTGCCCCAACTTGATCTTCCCACACACTGAGAATCTCACATCCTTGACACAAGTTTCCATCAAATCCCCGAGAAAGTGGAGGGGCTTGGCGAGCCCATCTTGTCACGTACCATCAATAAAGTACACTGTACTCAGAAAAAAAAAATTACTTCTGATTCCATTCTCAACAATTTTTGAGATCCTATATTATTAGATTGGAAGCAGGAGTGGCATCCACTTCTTAAATAACATGCCTCCGGAAAACTCTATGAACTTTGATAAATGTCAAGGTTGTAGAGGGGCTTTTTTCATGCGGTCGCTATGAGTTGTGCTCGACTCGAAGGTAATCAACAACAACAAATTATTAGACCCAGGACTATAGATTATAGTATGAATTGTATCTCAACATCAAGTAAACAAAAATCCATCACACCCCTGGGACAGTAAGCATCATCATGGGAGATGGAAAAAGACAGAAAGTATCAATGATTGCATCTTACTTTGATCTATAACCAACAATCTTGGTACCAATAACTAGGAAATCAAAAGAAATGTTGCACAGGGCAAGTCTGCAAATCAGGGGCCTCTCAAAAGTGCTAAAGAGCAAGAATGTCAGTATAATGATTAAGGTGAGCCTAATTCAAGCCATGGTCCTTTTAATTACTTGCTCTGTATCTGTGAGCTGGACAGTGAATAAAGATAACAGAAGAAAGATTGATGCCTTTGAGTTGTGGTGCTGAGTAAGAATTCTAAATACCCGATGGACTGCCAAGAGACCAAATAAGTCTTGGAAAGAGTGCTGCCAATGTGCTCCTTAGAGGGAAGGAAGATGAAACTTCATCTCATACACTTGAGGCATGTTGCTAAAAGGGACCAGGCCTTGGAAAAAAATGACACCATGCTCAGAAAAGTAGAGAGTAAATAAAGGAATGAAGGCACTCAATGATGGACTGACACAATGACCTTAACAATGGGCTTAATGGCACAGGATAAGGTAGGATTCAGTTAGTTGACCTGACAGGTGTGCATGTATGCGCACATCTGTCTCTCATTATACTAAAAAAAATCTCTAGTGGCATAGTGGGTTTGTTTGTTACTTTGCTAATGAAAATGTTAGCAGTCTGAAATCACCAGCCACTCCAAGGAGAAAGATGAGGCAGTATGCTCTGATTAAGATTTACAGCCTTGGAAACCAAATGGAGTGTCACCATGAATTAGAACTGACTTGAGGGGAGTGAGTTGGATTTCGAGCCTTTATTAAGTTTATATTTAGGAGACCGAGAAGGTTTGGGAATTGGGAAGAGAAGCAAACAAAATAAATGAAGTAGTATACATGCTATATACATAGTTACACAAGCTATGGAAGAAAAATAAGTGGTTGCAGTGGACAAGGAATGCTGGACAATGTGTTTCACTTAATAAAAAGCTCATGGAAGGCATCACTTGAAAGATAAAATAAATCACATGTCTACATGCGAGAAGATCACGCCAGACAAAAAACTAAGTGCAAAGGCTCCAAGGTAAGTGGAGAGTATACCTACTCTGTTCAAACAACATCAAAGAGGCCAACTGTGCTGTAGAAGGTGGTGTAGGAAGAGAAGAGGGGACAAAGTTAGAGGGTAATGTTAGAAGCTTTTTAGTTGACTGCAACTCATAACAATCCTTTAACAACAGCTCTGAACTTTGCCCTATCCTATGCACCCTCACCATCTCTGACACATCTGAACTCATCTTTAAGGTCACTGTTATCAGTTCATCTCATTGAAGGTCTTCCTGCCTTACAACATGCCCAAAGTATGTGAGGCAGAGTTTCACCACTCTTGCCTCCAAGGAGCACCCTGATTTCATCCTCTCCTGGATAGATCTATTCTCTTGGCAGCCTATGGGATACTCAATATTCTTATCCAACACTGTAATATCACTGCTTCTTCTATCATCTGAATTCACTGTTCATCTTTCAAATGCACAGCAAGGGAATGAAAAGACCATGGCCTGAAGCAGGCATACCTTAGTCTTTAAAGTGACATCATTGCTCTTCAGTAATTTAGAGAGGATCCTGACAAAAAATTTGTCCAATGCAATACGTCTCCTGATTTCCTGACTGCTGGTAGCAAGGGTACTGACTGTGGATCCAAGAAAGATGAAATCATTGACAATTTCAACCATTTCTCCATCATGATGTTGCTTCTTGGTCCCGTGGGTGGTGAGGACTACTGTCTTCTGGATGTTGAGATGCAATTCATATTGAAAGTTGTAGTCGTTGATCTTCTGCAGCAACGGCTTCAAGACCTCTTCACTTTCAGTAAGCAAGGCTGTGTCATCTGCACAACACAGTCTGTCCCCTGATCTTGACATTGTATCAAGTAGTATAGGGCTGTATTTTCTATAGTAAGGACTTATATTCACCATGAATATGGCAGCAATGGAAGGTTTTGAGCAGAGAAGAGGCATGATTGGACCTGTGAGTGCAATGAGGTATTTTACAAAACTCCATTTATCCTGCAATGTTCTGCTTAAATATGTTTTCTTCTATGAGGTCCCTTTATCTTCTCAAGACATTTACATTCCTTTCCTCTCTATTCTCACTATACTTGTAGTCTATGGTAGTTAATAGTCTTAAATATACTGTATTTTTTGGCTGTGAGCTCATGGAGATCAAGAGATAGTTTAAAATGGATTCTTTCATTCCTCATGCCCAATACAGAGTTGAACACAGAAAAGAATGAATACATATTTGCTAAATTAAAGCACGTTGTTCTTATTTACTTTCCAGCTGGAACTGACTGACTTATAGCTGACCCTTCAGAGAGTTTTCAGAGGCAGTAAATCTCACAGGAAAAGAATGCCCATCTTTCTCCCACGGAGCAGCTGGTGGATTGGAACCTTTTGCCTTTGGGCTGACAGTGCAACGCCTTACCTACTAAGCCATCAGCGCTCCCTAATAAGTACATACCAATCCATATTTAATAGCCTTTAAGCAGGACATCACATTAATATGAGTAGAAAGAGGCTTAAGGGATTTCAGACAAGAGGGAACAGGTTAAGTATTAAAAACCAAACATTCCTGTGTTGAAATCAGCAGCATCAAGTTGCCTATCTAGTTATTAATTTCCAATGAATCAGAAAAACAGGATAATTAAGCCCGTACCTGTTCCAAGGTGTTGGGAAGGTTTTGTTGGATGCATGGCACCATGACAAACATTTTGCTGAACATTACTCTGTGAGTGGATAAGGCCAGTTTGTGCAAAAAACTGATTAAGAGAAGAGCAGAGATCTGCAAACTGGACCTGATCTAAAGACCAGTTCTTGAGATCAGCCTGTCTCATACTCTCCATCAAACCTGTGAGGAAAGTATTAGAAAAATCAGTTAGCAGAGTTCTCGAAGTCCTGAAAGACAAACAATCAGATAATTTTTTGAGCCAAAAAATTTGACTCACTAAGCATTACAGTATTGATCTGCCCATGTGAAGAGCAGTACCTTAAAATTATTAAAAGCCTCGTTTTATATAATGAAGTAAAATTTATTTCAGAGTTCTTATCTGTGACTCCATGTATATCAACTGTCCTTGAGATTCAATAGTGAATTTTACAAGATCTTTTTAAGTACACTACCAATTGCTAAAGAAGAGTGATGTTTATTTCTATTTCAAATAAAATGGCATTTCTACCACAAGGAACTTTATCATCTACCAGAGAAAATAAGACACATATTAGGTTATATGTCAAAAGGAAACATACTCACCTTGAAACTGTGAAAGGTCTACATCTGACCAATTAACACTGCTGGCAATTCGACAGCTTTCTTTCAGCATATCAAGTGTTGCATACCAATCATTTGAAATGCCTGTAAAAGTAATATTGAGAAGACTATCAATTTTGCATAGTGGAAATCTGAAATGTATGATAAGGGAAAACAATGAGTCGGCTTTATTCCTGACACTGACAGATTCTTGTCCAGTTATACAAAGGAACATCCATTATTTTACCCATTGGGATGATCTGTTCTATGAAGGAGACAAGAAGGGTATTACTTTTTCACTATTTCATAAATAAAGGAAATTGGACTCAAAGACGTAGCATAATTTGGCAATGTCATTATGATATATCTAAGACAAGCCCAGTTTTTCTTGGCTGTAGTCTGGAAGCTTATTGTAGCTGACCGTCCAGTGGGTTTTCAAAATCAGTACACTGTATGGGAATAGACTGTTTACCCTTCTGTGGATTTGAACTGTGTCTTTGGGACTGCAGTGCTGCTTCTTACCAATAGGGCACTCTTCACATATCTATGTTGTTGTTGTGTACCACTGAGTCAGAAGCAACTCACAGCTGACCCTCCAGCCAAAGGCAGTCAATTGCACGAAGACACTGCCCATCCTTCTCCCAAGGAGTAGAGCTGATGGCTTCAAACCACCTGCCATAAGGATTGCAGTGCCACATCTTACCACTAGGCCACAAGAGCTCTCTATACATACCTAGATATAGGTATGTTGCTGTTGTTATGTGCCATCGAGTAACTTGTGACTCATAGCGACCCTATGTACAACAGCCCTAAACTCTGCTCTGTCCTGTGCCAATCGCACTGTCTCTGACACTCCCATCCCGATTACCCAAGTCACTGAATCAATCCACCTCATAGAGGGCCTTCCTCTCCTGTGCTGTCCCTCCACCCTCCCAAACATGATGTCCCTCTCCAAGGACCGGTCCCTTCATACAACATGTCCAAAGTATGTCAGACGGAGCCTCAGAATCCTTGCTTCCAAAGAGCCGCCCGGTTTAACCCTCTCCAGAATGAACCTGTTTGTTTTCCTAGCAGTCCATGGTACATCCAATACTCTTCTCCAGCACCACAGCTCAAAGGCATCAATTCTCTTTCTATCTTCCTTAGTCATTGTCCAACTCTTTGATGCATAACAAGTGATTACAAAGATCATGGCCTGTATCAGATGCACCTTAAGTCTCCAGAGAGACAGCATTGCTCTTCAGTACTTTGGAGAGGTCCCTAACAGCAGACTTCCCCATCGCAATATGTCTTTTAATTTCCTGGCTACTGGTGCCAAGAGTGTCGACTGTGGAGCCGAGCAAACTAAAGCTGTGAACAATCTCAATCTCTTCGCCATCCATCCTGATGCTGCCAATTGGTCCAGTGGTGAGAATCTTTTGTCTTCTTGACATTGAGCCTCAATCCATATTGAAGGCTGCAGTCCTTGACACTCTGCAGCAGGTTCTTCAGGTCCTCCTCAGTTTTAGCAAGGAAGGTTGTGTCATCTGCATTAACACAGATTGTTGATGGATCTCCCACCAATCCTGACACCTCATTTCTCCTCACAGAGCCCAGCCTCTCAGATAATCTGTTCTGCATACAGGTTGAAAAGGTATGGAGACAGGACACATGCCTGGCGTATGCCCTTCCCAATTTAGAACCATGCAGTGTTTCCTTGGTCTATTCTAACGACTGCCTCTTGGTCCAAGTATAGGTTTCGCATTAGCATGATCAAGTGTTCTGGGATTCCCATTCTTCTTAGAGTCAGTCAGCCACAGTTTGTTATGATCCACACAGTCAAATGCCTTTGCACAGTTAATGAAACAGATATACATCCCTCTGGTATCCCCTTCTTTCAGCCAAGATTCATCTAACACCAGCCACAATGTCTCTAGTACCATGACCCCTTCTAAACCCAGCCTGGACTTCCAGCAGTTCTCTGCTGAGATGTGCTGTTCCAGTCGTTTTTGGATAATCTTCAGTAGAATCTTGCTTGCATGTGAAATCAATGATATTGTTCTATAGTTTCTACAACTTGGTGAGCACGTCCAGAGCAGCATCTGTTAGCTGAAATATGTCAACTGGTATACCATCTATTCCTGGGGCCTTATTTTTTGCTATTTCAGTCAACGTAGCCTGAACTTTTTCCTTCAACACCATAGGCTCTTGCTCATTCGCTGACATAGGTATAATATACATTAATGATGAGGGAGGACAAGTCACACAAATCAGTGTTAATACAAGTTCCTCATAGCATCATGTTCAAAGTATGTATGTGAGGTGAAGCCTCATCATTCTTGCCTCCAAAGAGCACTCCGGCTGCACCCTCTCCAAGATATAGCTGTTTATTTTCTTGACAGTCCATGACATGTTCAGTGCTCTTCTCCAACACCACAGCTCAACGACATCAATTAGTTTTCTGTCATCCTTATTTACTGTCCAGCTCTCAGATGCATATCAAATGATAGAAAAGACATTGGTCTAAATCAGATGCACCTTAGTCCTCAAACTGACATTATTACACCTTAATAATCTGGAGGTCACCAATTGCATATTTTCCCAGTTCAATACATCTCCTTATTTCCTGACTGTTGGTACCAAGGCAATCTCCTCTCCACCCATCATGATGTTGCCTATTGGTCCAGTGGCAAGAGTCTTTGTTTTCCTAACATGGAGATTCAATCCATATAGAAGGCTGCATTCCTTGATCGCTGGCAACAAGCGCTTTAAGTTCTCCTCACTTGCAGCAAATAAAGTTGTGTCACTTGCATAACGCAGGTTATTGATAAGTCTTCCTCCAATCCTGTTGCTACACTCCTCTTCGTAGAGTCCAGCTTCTCAGATAATTTGTGCAGCATACATAGTGAATAGGTATGGAGAGAGAATATAATAACCCTGTTGCACTCCCTTCTCCATTTAAAACCATACAGTGTTCCCTTGCTCTGTTCACAGAACAGCCTCCTGTTAAGTGCTCTGGGATTCTCATTCTTCTCAATGTCAGTCACAACTTGTTGTGATCCACACAGTCAAATGACTGCATAATCAATAAAGCACAAATAGGCATTCTTCTGGTATTCTTTACTTTCAGCCAGGATCCATCTGACATCAGCAATGATATCCCTGGTGTCACGGCCTCTTCTAAATCCTGCTTGAACTTCTTGCAGTTCTCTACCTATGTACTGTTGTAGCTCTTTTTGAATGATCTTCAGCAGTATTTTACTAGCATGTGATATCAATGATATTGTTCAAGAATTTCCACATTCAACTGGATCACCTTTCTTGGGAATGGAAACAAATATGGACCTCTTCTAATCCATTGGATAGACAGCTGTCCTCTAAATTTCCTGGCATAGACTGGTGAGCGAATCCAGGGCTGCATCTGTTAACTGAAACAAGGCAATTGGTATCCCACTGATTCCTTGGGCCTTATTTTTTTGCTAATGCTTTAAATTCATCTTCCACTCTCTCCTTCATTACATCTGTTTGTTGGTACTTCTGAAATTTTTCAGTGTCAATCAGTTCTTTCTGTGTATTCTCTCTGCCTTCTTTTGATGTTTTCTGGGTCATTCAATATTTTGTCCATAGCATCTTTCGATATTGCGACACAGGCTTAAATTTGTTTTTTTCCGTTTTTTTAGCTTAAGAAATGCAGAGTAAGTTCTTCTCTTTTTATTCTCCAATTCCAGCTCTCTGCACTTTCCATTATAATACTCTATCCGCTCAAGCTGCTGTTTGAAACCTTCTGTTCAGCTCTTTTACTTTGACATGTTTTCCTTTTGTTTTGACATTCATTTCAATTTTTTCTTTCTCCTTTATTTTTGTAATGACCTTGTGCATATGCCAAGTTCAAGTTGAGGCTGAAGAAAATGAAAATAATTCCATAGGAACCAAGATATGGTCTTGAATTAATTAATTCCATCTGAATTTCAAGATCATCTTGAGAATAGCTTTGAGGCATTGAACACCAATGATTGAAGACCATATGAGTTGTGGAATGATATCAGAGATATTGATGAGATTTACAGCCTCCAAAAATCCACTAGAGGGTCAGCTGTGAGTCAGTTCCAACCTGACAGTAATGAGGTAAGGTTTTGGTAAAATAACACAAACAGTAAGGAAAACATTGCATGAAGGCAGTCTTAATTTTACATTTTTAAGACTGTAAATATCTACCTGGATAATTAAGTATGGGATAGGATAAGTAGATGTTATGATATTAATCCTTTATAAACACTTAGCCAAGCAAGCTCTGGTTATGTAGTCCATAGAGAGCTGCACAACTAGCCAAAAGATAATCTTTCTAGGGTAGATTCAAACCTGTCAGCAGCTCCAGAGGAAACATGAGCAATCTCCTCCTCAGAAATCCTTACAGCTTTAGAAAATCTGTTGGAGGGTCAACTTAGTCTATTCTAACTCAACAGCAATGCCTCTGACTTTTGACCTTTGAAACAATAAGCAAGTTCCAGATATCTTGCTATGCATTTTTATACTTCATCTCATTTAATTCTTAAAAAGAATCCATTATTAATTTTTCTACTCCATCAATAAAAACCAAACAAACAAAATTACAAATCCAGTAATGATATGGCTGGCAGGTGGGCAGCCAGGCAAGCTAGGAGAAGGCTGCACAATTCCCTGAGGCCTCATTTACTTGTAGTCTAAGTCTAGGACACTCTTGGAATTTAACAGTGTAAAGACTGACTTGGGCTGTGAGCAATGGCAATTAAACACCTTATTAGAAACCACTAATACTTATCTTAATAACCTTAGGTTTTCTTAAGTTCAGTTAAAAATAATGTTTCCTTCCTTTGTAATCTATCATTTAAGAGTAGATATTTGGTATGAATAAGCAAAAAAGGGAACATGTACTGATTATTTAAATGCAAGGTACTAGGCTCGGCATTTCATCTTTGTCAACTCCATATGATCCTAACGACACTGTACATCAGAACATTTCTGCTCCATTTTTTTTTCTCTTTTGTTCCATCCTTCTCCCTACTCCCACAATTTATAGTCAAACAAGAGAATGACAATACAGGGAGGTATAATCACTTTTTAAAAAAATTAATAATAGCAAGCAGCTATCTACTTTTTACATACTTTGCAAAAAAAATTTTACTCATTTGCCTCCCTCTCCCTCACTTGTCCTCTATCTCTGTTAACCATCTAAGACGGATTCTTTTTGGGTGCAAATCATTTCTTCTTTAGGCCTATCCCTATAGAAGAAAGCAAAGCTAAAAAAGCAATTTTCCCAAGATCCTAACTGCCAGCTAAGCATTAAAATACAGATCCTTCCTGACACAAATCTATGTTCTTTCTACTATACTATACTATTACTATACTATACTTTGTCTCAACAGATTATAGACATGTATATTCCATTCTTTTGCATTCCAGTCACCCATTATTATCAATGCATCTTGATTGCATGTTCGATCAATCTCCGATTGTAAAAGTTGGTAAAAATCTTCTATCTCCTCTTC